GCTAAGAGGGCAGTAGGTCTAAGAGATCTGAACTACAGATGAGCTTGTATGTTCAAGGAGAAGAAATATGGCCGTGTTGGCTACAGTGGAAGGACTACTACAACAATGGAAGGACCCTGAGGGTAAGGAACTTTTCGTTTTATTCAGTAATGTAACCACAGCATCAAACAGAGCCTGGGACCTAGGTCCTTCCTATGCATGGAGTGAATAAATGAATGAGTGATTCAAGATGAATCTGGAGATGTAGAGGAATGCCTGACCATGAAGCTATAATAAGATGTTTAATTCTATTTGAAGCATAGCAGTATTTTTAACAGGTTGTGTGGTATTGAATATTGGCTCCCTAAAGGTGTCCGTGTCTTAATTCTCAGAGTCTGTAAATGCTATCTTAGATAGTAAAAGGGGCTTTGCAGATGGGATTAAGTTAAGGATCTTGAGATGGAGAGATTATCCCAGATTACCCAGGTGGGCTCAGTGAGATCACAAGTATCCTTATAGCAGGGAGGCAGGGGCATCAGAGTCCAGGAAGGGAATAATGATAATGGATGCAGAGGTCAGGGTGAGATGGTCCTCAAGACAAGGAGCATGGGCAAGCCTTTAGAAGTTAAAAAAGAGGGGCGCCTGGGTGGCTCGGTGGGTTAAGCCTCTCCCTTCAGCTCGGGTCATGACCTCAGGCTCCTGGGATCAAGCCCCACATCGGACTCTCTGCTCAGTGGAGATCCTGCTTCCCCCTCTCTCTCTGCCTGCTTGTGATCTCTCTCTCTCTCTCTCTCTCTCTCTCTCTCTGTGTGTGTGTGTGTGTGTGTGTGTGTGTGTCAAATAAATAAATAAATAAATAAATAAATAAATCTATCTTTTTTAAAAAAAGGAAGTAAAAAAAGACAGGGGTCTGCCTTCAGCTTAGGTCATGATCTCAGGGTTCTGGGATCAAGCCCCCTGTCTGGGCTTCCTGCTCAGTAGGGAATCTCCCTCTCCCTCTGCCCCACCCCTCCACTCTCCCTCTGCCCCCTCTCCCTCTTCCCTACTCTCCCTCTGCCCCCCCCGCCCCTCCCCCACTCTTTCTCTGCCTCTTCCCCCCACTCCTGCTTGTACTGTGTCTCTCAAGTCAATAAATAAAATCTTAAAAAAAAAAAAAGGAGTTAAAAAACACAAGGAAGTTCTCTTAGAGCCTCCAGGAGCACCACCCTGCTGATCTATTTTAGACTTCAGGCTCGCAGAATTGTAAGATAATAAATATGTGTTGTTTGAAGCCCTAAGTCTGTGGTAAAATAAAACACGATTATTCCACATTCCAGAAAGTGGCCATTTAATAAATTGCAAACATGAAGATGGATACATTTTTAAAAGTTAATCACTCAGCGTTCTCCCTTCAGCAGCACGGGTAGTAAAAATAATTCATCACTTATAATCCAAATTAAAATGCATTTTTTATTTAGTTGCAGTGTTTAGCCGGATCCTCCTTCCCAGATCTTCTGTTCTCTCACGGTACACTTTATGAAGAGGAAAGAGGGCAAGTGGATCTAAGTTCTAATGACAGGGGTAACTAGGAAATAACTAGAAAGTTCCAACACAGGGTCAAGCACTGTGATAAGCTCTCTGGCACATGAAACACAGAGGAAGTCAGCCTGGAAAGGCACAATGAACGGGGAGTAGGAGACTTCTGACCATGCTCAGTTCTGAATGAGGTTACACTAATTAATGAATAACGAGGAAAGTAATGGAGAGAAGAGCCCAGTAAAGAGCTGTCTTGGACCATCTCCTTTCCATCTGTTCACTTCTTATCAGGTATTAGATTAGGCCATTCCATTTCCTTTGATTTTCCCCTCTCCTGATCTTTTTTTCCTGATTTTTAGAAATTAGTAAGGGCATCCAGTCAGTTAAGGGTCTGACTCTTGATTTCGGCTCAGGGTGCTGAGATCAAGCCCCGAATTGGGCTCCATGCTCAGTGGGAATTCAGCTGAAGATTCTATTTCTCCCTCTCCCTCTGCCCTCACTCCCCACTGCCACACTCACTCATTCACTCTCTCTCTAATTAAAAAAATAAAACAGCAAAAATTGTTTTATTGTCACAGAATGCCTTTAGATTCATTTAAAATCATTGCATGCGTGGCTCAGTGGGTTAAAGCCTCTGCCTTCGGCTCAGGTCATGATCCCAGGGACCTGGGATAGAGCCCCACATGGGGCTCTCTGCTCAGTGGGGAGCCTGCTTCCTCCTCTATCTCTGCCTGCCTCTCTGCCTACTTGTGATCTCTGTCCATCAAATAAATAAATAAACAAAATCTTTAAAAAAAATAAATAAAATAAAATAAAATCATTGCATGTAAAAACGCAAAAATTTCTCCTTTACTATTTAGTTTTTGAGGAATTGTATTTTACAGCAAAACATATCACCCATATTTTAGAACATTTGCATGCCCCAATTTTCTTTTTTTAAGATGTTATTTATTTATTTGAGAGAGAGAGAGAGATCATGAGCCGAGGGATAAGCAAACTCCCCACTGAGCAGGGAGCCCAACACGGGACTCAGTCCCAGGACCCTGGGATCATGATCTGAGCTGAAGACAGACGCTTAACCATCTGAGAACCCCAGGTGCACCTACATGCCTCAGTTTTCACGGGTTGGAATTTTCAAGTCAGGATTTCAGAATGAAGAAATTTTAATATTCTATGTGTATGCGTGCATTGTATACTTAGAAGAATAGACATAAACCCTTGAATGTGATACTTTGGAAAGTTATCCTCAAATCTGAGGTAGATATTAATTTCATTTTAATGTGCTTTTTAGTTTGCAAATCTTTTTATTAGAAAAAATTTTTGAAAGATTGCAAATCAATGTATTTTGATTATCTAAAATTAATAAAATATTTCTTAATAGAATGAATACACAGCTGTACATATCATTTAAAACAAGATAAATGTATATGATAATATTGCCAGCATTTCAACTCCATCTGCATCAGGATATATTTGGGGGCACTTTCTGTGTACAACGGAGCATTTTTTGTGTACCCAATTTACAATACTAGTGGCAATGCAAACCTGCACACAGAAGTTTCTAGAAAATGGTCTATACACTAAAGCAAGGTGGGAAAAATCCTTTCTGTAAAGGGCCAGATGATTAATTGTTTAGGCTTCGTGGGTCATACAGTTCCTGTCACAAATATTCAATTCTTCCCTTATAAGCCAAGACAGTATGTAAATAAATAGGGAGAGCTTGTTCCAATAAATCTTTATTTATAATCTTTATTTGCCCTCAAGCCAACCCCCTATAGTAAAGGACTGATTTATATATACTGGGCACCAAAAACATTTTAATTCTCTTGCATTTACCTCAATAAAATTCCTGGCAAATGTTATTTTGAAAGAAAGTTGAAAATAGTTTGTCTCAGGATGGCTGGTTGATTAAGCATCTGCCTTTGGCTCAGGTCATGATCCCAAGACCCTGGGATCAGGCTCCTTGTTCAGTGGACAGCCTGCTTCTCTTTCTCTCTGCCTGCTGTTCCCCCTGCTTGTACTCTTTATCTCTCTTTCTAATACATAAATAAATAAAATCTTAAAAAAAAAAAAAGGTTCTGTCTCTACAGTCACATTTTTATAGAACTGATTTAAAACTGTCTCTTCAGTGATTAATAGTCCAACATTGTCAGCTTTCAGATTAATATGATTAATGCCCTCAAAAAGTTCAATATATGCCATGAAAAATACTAATAAATTTCAGAAATACCTGTGTTCTTTTTGTTCTATTCATAACACAGTAGATGAAACACAATCTTGTCTTAAAATTTATTGAAAGCTTATTAATAAACAAGCAACGTGGAAGTTGTGTTTCTAAAGACAACTATGGGGGCACCTGGGTGGCTCGGTGGGTTAAAGCCTCTGCCTTCAGCTCAGGTCATGATCCCAGGGTCCTGGGATCGAGCCCCGTATCGGGCTCTCTGCTCAGCAGGGAGCCTGCTTCCTCCTCTCTTTCTGCTTCTCTGCCTACTTGTGATCTCTGTCTGTCAAATAAATAAATTAAAAAAAAAAAAATAAAGACAACTATGATATTTTATTCTCAGTATTTGGAGTGATGATGTCTATTTAGATTAATCTTGAGAGACAATACAACCTTTCTTGCATAAAAAAGTAGAATATGATACTGTTTCTTTTACCTGTATATGTTCTGTTTTGAACAATAACAATAAATACTTTAAAAGCATTTTCAAATATTATAACTTCTATGCAATATTGATGACCTTTTCTAAACTTAATCCCATTTTAAGGTTTTGTTTAAAAATATATAAAAGCCTAAAAAATTCCATCCAACCTAAGACTTTTGCTTTTACTCTTCCTACATTAATGACTGCTATAGTCTGTCCACTGCAGACGTGCCCTCCACTTTCTACTGCTCTCTGTCCTCAAGTTACATCAGCAAGACCAATCTCCAGGTCTTCCATGAGCATTGCTTTTTGAGAAGAACTGACAAAGCTGTCACAAGTGACAGTAAATTTAAATTGCTTGTTGATCCCATTGTCATCAGACCTGGTTCTTGATGCTCCTAAGGTCCCATGTCATGGTGGCTTGTTCTGAATGGAGGCCAAGTCCATCAGAATGTCCGTATGTGCATTCCGAAGTCTAGGATAAAACTAAGATGTCCTACTGGTTTGTAGCTTAGAGAACTTTTGCAGCTCTAACCATTTTGGTTAGATTTTGGATACTTGGTCCAATTGTATTAATAGTAAACAGAAGTCTGGCTGGTCCATTCAGATCAGAGTTCAACCTTGTTACTCATCAGGATGGGACCAAGACAATCATAACACAAGTCCTCTGCCCACTTGTCAGATTTTCACGGCGCCCCTTCAGTGGGTTCTCACAGGTGTCCTGAAATTAAGGGTATGCTCTAGGGCATGTACTTTCGCTCTCTTCATCCGTCGTCCTGTCCATGCTGTTAACTTGAGGAGGGAAAACCCTTTGGAGAGAAGAGTGGCCATCCCAAAGCTCTGTGTCTGTGTGTCTTGCAGGAGTCCTTTGGAACCTCTCATCTTGCGACGCACTCAAAATGCCAATCATCCAGGACACTCTGGCGGTATTGACCAACGCCGTGATTATCCCCCATTCTGGCTGGGAAAATTCGCCTCTTCAGGATGATCGGAAGATACAGCTGCATTCCTCGCAGGTGCTGCGAAATGCCACTGGATGCCTAAGGTGAGTCCCATCCTGGCGGCCTCCGCCCACTGTCATACGCTTTCTGTTTCTATAACTTCAACTGTCGTTTCACTGAGGATCAGAGAGTTCCAGAAGGATGAGCGTTGATGTGGTAATAGAGGATAAGAACTTAGCAAAAACCATTTCTAAGGAGGTACGAAGGAGGGAGAGGCATCTTCCACTATAATTTTTTTTACTTACTTAACATGTTTTCTTGGGTCTGCGGCAAAAAATCAACATTTCATTCCCACCAAAAATAGTTTTTTAAAGACAATAGTTCGCAGTAATTTCTCATGTTGTATTATATTATGCCTATAGAACATCCAGGCAGGCCAACTGGTTGGAGGAGGGTCTATGTATACACATGGGGATCTAGTTAACTATCTTCGTTAGTTTTGTTTTTTATTTTTAAAAAATTTTCTGTGTGACTGCCAGAGCGTATAATTGCTTAGAGATAACTTTTTAATAAAGCCTATTGTACGAAATGTTTTCTTTAAATAATAAGAGTAGCAAATATGTTCTCATTCTCTCTCAATGTATTTTTACAAAAATCATCCCCCAGAAATCTCTGGAGATGTCTTAGAATCATCTTTATTTCTGTTTAATTTTTGCTCTTAGAAAAGAATGTAATCATCAAGGTATGGTTTTTCCCATCTCTGGAAACAGTGCTCCCAAGGATGCTGTATTTTTTAACCAAAGTTGGAAATCTCTGCTGGATAAACTTAATGATGAGTTGAGGGCAAAAGGGTGACTCTGAAGAACACCCAGTCAGATAATCTATATTTCAAACATAAAATGTACAGGATTGTTTTAGCTGGGCTGCCTCAAAGCTGTCATTTCTCCTACAGTTGATTGGTTTCTAGGTGCAAAAACCAGTCTCTCCTGAGGAGGAACAAAATCACCTTGGTGACATTAATAATAATTATCTCATGAATATTTATAACAATGCTCCCAACCTCCGGTCTTGAGAGGAGTGGTGTGTTTGTGTAAATGTGCGTACATAGAGGGAGTTAAAGTGAGTCGGCCTCCCTAAATATCGACCTGCGTTCACAGACAGAAATAGGAAATCCTCTAACGATTTTGCTTTTCCTCAAGGTCATGAAATAATGATCTCTGGACATGATTTCTATGGCAAAGCTTTACCATAAGCCAAATTTACAGTTCTCCAAAACTCCCTGTTCAGACATTTATTTTATAACCTCTTACATTCTGTTATCCTTCAGAAACCTCCTGCCCCACCAGAAAAATTATAACTCCTTCCAAAGCTAAAACTGTAGGCCCTTCTTGCTTTTTATACCTGACTTTTCTAGTTCAGTTATTTGTAATTATTATAGGAAGTTTTTTTTTTTCCCCCTTCTGAGCATCTTTGACTTATAGTCAGGAGGGGAGGGAGTGAGGGAGAGAAGAAGGGAGGGAGGGAGGGAGGGAGGGAGGGAAGGGGAGGGAAAAGAAAATGGTCTATTGTTCCTAATCATGGGAAAAGTGCCTCAGAATCAATTGTAGAAGTATGGTCAGTAAAGACCTGGTTAACTCTGTCAGTTAAAATTCTCTCTGAATGATACAGTAATTATCATTATGTAATGTCATTACATTATGCAATGATACATAATTACACATTCAAGATGTTTGCCTAATGGAGGTAGGCCACTGCCATTAAGAGTGTACATTCAGCACTATTTGATGAAAAATCAGATGAAGAAGTTAGACCGAGGTTCATGGGGCCACCTGGCAGGTCGTCTGGCTGAGTTTAGCATCTGGACTGTGGCCTAGAGCAAAGGTAGGTCAGATCAGGCTGACTCTCTGTCCCTCTCTGTTCACCCACACAGATAGATGCTTGGCTTCAGCTGCTGAATATGGCCAGCAGCAACCACAACATAGGAAGCAAAAAAGGGAGACATCTCATTTAGAGAGAGTTTCGTGTAGCCAAGTTGGTTTTCCTTAGTCAAGGTGCATAGGGGTTTATCTCTTAGTTCTGAGTTGCCTTGTGACTGGCAAAACAAAATCCATTAGTATATGGTGAATGGTGAATACTTAACTTCTGCCTTAATCTGTTGACCTTCTGCCCCTCTACAGAAAGAAAGAATAATTTCTCCTCTTGTTTGAATGTGTTTGCGAATCATTCCACAGTGATAATAAGCAGGTTGAACTGAGAGGAAGAAAATAGCCTTGGGAAAGGGCTAAATGGCATTTGCCATATACTTAGTGGATACGAAGTTTCCAGAAATTTCTACTAATACTTGGTGTTGGCAACACACCAGAACAGTCACAAATGTTTTTTTATCATGATGGAAGTTTCTAGATTGTAAGTTTTGAGGTTATATACATTCTTGATTTTTCCAAAAAGCCTTAGCTTTTTATTTACATTAAAGATATTACTTCTTGTGCTGCTCCTGCCTTGCAACAGTGTTATCCACGAGCATTTACTGAGAATCTGCTCTGTTCCCGGGAGGGACCTGGGAGGCAGAAAAAAACAAGTCCCAGCAAAAGTCCTCCCGGAACTGCAGAAATGATTTGAATACACTCCTTAAAATGTAAATTAACAACCAGATTGTCTGAATTTATAAACTGGATCCGGGCTTGTACCTTGCAAGGAACATTTTCTTCTATCAAAATATTTAGAAAGAATTTGGTGCTTTCATGCTTCTTAAAGAAAAAATAATCACAGCAATTGTCCTTTTTCATTTACTAAATGTATATTGTATATAAAGTGATATGGTGATTTTGTGCACAAAACGATATAGCGAGGTCGTAGAACCTTTGCATACTTTGGAAAAGTTAATTTATAGCTTTGGTTTTGAAAGTTGCCTAAATTGTATAAAATGCCACATTTGCATGTTATCATTCTTTTTGAACGCGTCATGACCATCTCCATCATATCCCATGAACTCTGGCTAGAGCGTTAAGTATATGATTCAGAAACTTGTTTAGCTGGTAACTGACAAGAAGCTGCTTTTGGTCTACAAAACGGATCTGCCTGCTCATGGGTGTGTAAGGAATTCAACAGATGACTCTGGGAAGAATGGTGACTAAGTTGGTACAAACCACGTTTAAGTGTCACAACGGGCAAACAAGCCAGTTCCTTTCATGTGGTTTCTGGGTATTTCACTGTGAAGGCAAAGAAAATGAGTACTCTTCAAAAAAAAAATAATATAAAATATGCACACAGTATTTCTTATTCTCTTACTTTTTTAGATCTCATTCCTTATTAGGAATAAAAAAGGGAACCATTTTTAAAAGCTAAGGTATTATTGTTGAGGACATCCGGTTGTATTAAAATTCTTTTCAAGTATTTACTTTTATGTATTTCAACTTCTAGAAATCCTCCACAGCCTTTAAGAATCAGGAGTTACATATAATTGAATCCTTGTCATAATTATACATTTTATAAATTTATTTTGAGACTGTGATTTTCTCATTACAATTCATTATCAAATAACACTTGGAATTTAAAAAATTACAAGTAGCAATGTACATGAGCCACTATTTAAATATTTTTGATATGTGAGATATCAGTTAAATTTAATTCCATTAGCTGTCCTTGGGTGATATTTTCACTAATATTGACTTGGAATGGAAACTCTCCTTTCTCATGAATTCTAGAGAAATTGGAGAATTGGAGCTGTTGTGTGTGTCTATCCGTGTGTGTGTGTGTGTGTGTGTGTGTGTGTGTGTGTGTTCGTTCATTCCAAGGTTTGACCAGGCAACAAGATGTTTATTAACAACTTTTATGCATTGTCAATCGAGACAAGATTTTCAAATAAAATTAAAGAAATATTTTGATTCCTAAAATCCCTCTCTTCCAAGGACCAGAACTTTCTGCTTCGAATACATTGCTTATTCTTGTATTTATTTTATGTTCAATAGCTCATGGTTAGTTGGTTGGGAAGCCAGTACTTGAACTTGCATCCTGACTCCTGGCCCAGACCATTCCCCTCTGTTTCCACACGGAGAGGAAATACAGTGCCCTGTGTGGTGACAGGAACCGATCTGTTCTCGGAGCAACTCAATCAACCACCCAACTGGTGGATGGACCCACTCTTCTTTGTGTTGGCTCCTTTACTTTGCTTCTCAACAGCTCCTGAGTAGCATAAGCTCAGCCAGCATCCATCCAATTTGGCTTAAGTTGTCAACTGTCTCCCCCCTCCTCCTCCTTTCCTCCTCCCCAGGCTTCTCTCCGCAGGGCTCAAGTCTGGAGTGGGAGGCACCCTGGAGAGTTAGTCAGGAGCCCCACGTCAGCCCCTTCTCGTCAGTCCCTTCTCTCCACCTCCACCTTAAATCTTAATTTAGACAATTAGTCAGAGCAATGAATTTTTTTTTTTTTTTTTTTAAAGATAAGGCTATATTTTAACATACCCTGGATAATAAAGTTGATGTCATTTTTCCAGTACTCCGACTCTTCTATTCTCTTACTGATCACTTAATTCTCTCTTACTGATGTCTCCACTCTTTTCCCGGGGTAGTATTTCCTACCCCAGGTGGCTTTCAGCTCCAGTAAGAGCTTCTGGTACCTTCTCACTAATGGAGAGCATTATTCTAAATTTTTGTTTCTAGCAGGATTCAAACTTGTTTGTGTCGTTTCAGGGTGGGAAGCCGAGGTTAAGAATTTCAGCAATTACTATTCTAAAACAGATCACCTTTTCATCTTTCAGAACGAAAAAAAAAATATTATAAATGCAAATTGTACCAGTCATAAATGTTCAAAAGCTTATCAGAGGGAAATTTAAGTTAGATAAAAAGCCTAAGCCTTCCTAAGCTAAAATCTGGAACGCTAATGCTGTCCAACCTTTGGATAATTCCATACAGTCTTACTAAACTCTGTCCAGTTTCCCAAACCTTCTCTTTGGCAATGATGTTGTACCAAAACCGATGGTGGTACTGACCCCTCCCCGCCAGCCTCGATCACGGGGCACACTCACGAGGAGTGTTCCAAAGAGAAGAGACTCTTGCCTTTGCCTTCTCTAAAAAAGCCTGGTAAATCTTCATGGAAAGATGTCATATCA